AGAGAGAGAGAGAGAGAGAGAGAGAGAGAGAGAGAGAGAGAGAGAGAGAGAGAGAGAGAGAGAGAGAGAGAGGGCAGGTAGGATTGAGATATAAGATTTAATGGGCTGCTTCTGACACTTGGAATTCTCTTTTAGGGGAAGCGGCAGAGGATTCTCATCTAGCAACTGCCTGAGGATGTAGTCTTGCCTCTATTTAGTTGAGCAGTTGAGTAGTGGGCGTGTTTGGTTGCCTTCTCGGTTCACAAAGGCCAGCCTTGGGAACAATCGCTTGTGTTTCTGCTTCTTCAGGTCTGTGTTTCAGGACTTTCAGAGCTGTTCATTAGCTTGCAGTGGGAGCGAGTGCTTGTTACATCAAATAGCAGTTTTAATGGAACCACGCAGGTTCCATAAATTCCCCCGTGGTCCTCCAAATGATAAGCATCTCCCCTCTTCCCAGCAGATCTTTTGATGCTTGGGTGATAATGCCCTCTCTCTCCCAGTTCGCTGTCCACTGCCATTTCACCCAAATGGATGGCCTGGTCATTCCCGCTGCATGTAGACTGAAAGTTACCCTAAATGCAGCTGTAATGACCAGGCGTTCGATTAGGATGAAGACGGTAGTCGTGTCTGGCAATGGACGCCTTTCACTCTTCTCTTGGCTCCAGGACTGATACACTCACTGTGCGCTTTTTTTTTTTTTTTTTTTTTTTTTTTTTTTTTTTTTTTTTTTTTTTTTTTGATTTCCCATGCAACAGTAATAGTTTAAAATTTGAAAGGTTCGCCAGTCCATGTTCCCACTGAAATTCAGAATTAAACCACCCCTCCCCCCGACAAGCAAAAACCCATGGCCCTGTGAGTTAGGGCCGGCTTTTACGGAGGGGCGCCGACTGTTCGTCACCGGCGGGTTCGGTCCGGCAATTTGAAAGCAGCAACTTTGGTGATTTTCCGTGGTCTGAAGAATTTGGAAAAAATTCTGAAAATTTGAGGGTCCGTAGATTAGGCCGTGATCTTTCAAGGAAATATATCAGGGAAAGAAAAAAGAAAAAAAAATAGACCGGGAAATAATCGCCACGGCCGATTCAGTGCATTTCCATTTTTTGCCACTCTACCATTGTGGGCCAAAAAGAAAAGGTACCCCAACTTCAGTGATTTCCGCACTCGGAAGAACGAGTGAAAAAACCTCAAAATCGGAGGGCCTGTAGATTTTGTTGTGATCATTTTGGGAATATATCTATATATAATATATATATAATTCAAATTTCAAAGTCAATTTTTGTTGCAAAATAAGTCTCGGCGGCATTTTGACACAATTGCCATTTTTGCCATTCAGCCGGTTTTACACACAATGCTACTGGTACCACTCGTGAAACTCTGCTAAAGAACTCGTGAAGGAAACGACTTATATACGAAGATGAAATAATCTAAAGTTACTAACGAAGAAAACATTTCTAAATCCAGAGTAGCTTTAGTTATGGAAAGATGAATGAGTCGCTAGACGCTCGCATGAGAGTTGGACTTGTTGCTTTAACTATGGCAGAATATTTTCGAGATGTGAATAAACAAGACGTACTTTTATTTATTGATAATATTTTCAGATTTGTACAGGCCTCTAAAGCCTCGTTTCAGGGGCTTTGTTTTTCCATAGTCGGACGCAGGGCCTTGAGGCTGGACTGTGGCATGCGGGTGGTCCCCTTGGCCGAAGACAGGCATATTTGAGCGGGTAATTGCAGTTTTTTTTTTTGGCTTTTAATTCGGTACTGGCAAAAATGTCAAATGATGCATGTGAGGGAAAAAAAAAAAACCCTTATACATCTGTGATGGGGCCTGGACTTTTCCAAGGTTTGGCCTTTTCAATTCCACTCAAGGGTTGACCGTTCAGGGGTGGGGGTAGACCGTTTGTCCCCTTGGAACGTTCGACCGTTCAGGGACCAGGGTTATCAGATATCCATGGTAACAGTGGACCTGAACGCCAGACACTTCCAGACTGTATTCCGGACGTATGTCTGGACTGGTCCGGAAAGTCTGGTGATCCGGACACCACTGGACACCCGGACATCACCGGACCCGGACCGTCCGGACTGATGTCAGAGGGTCCAAGAATGACCTGACCTGGAAAAAAAAACAAAAAGGGAGGGGGTGGGGGGGTGTTGGACACCAAACACTGACCGGCACTGCACTTTGGAGTTCAGACAGTGGAGCACCTGTCTTGCAGCAAACCAAGTAGTACATTCAACAAAGAGACATGCAAAGTTGTAAACAGGGCCAGGCTGGCAAAAGACACAAGAAACAAGGTAAAAAATAACTCCAAAAGAGTTAAAAAACAGACTCAAACAGAGTCGTCATATAACTTATAAGTCTAAACTTTGAACTTTGAAGTTCAGTTCAGAATTTCATAGTCTTCAGACTGGCGGTGCTGTCA